ATTTGGGATCGTGAAGTATGGTGGTGTGACCCCATAAATCCCGGTGAATCTCGGCCGCCGCCCTGATCGTGGGTTCTGCGCTTCTGGCCGTGGAGACGCATTTATTGTTTCTGATAGTTGGTGACCTAATCTCTCAAGCTGCAAGAATTCTTGTGAGAATGTCTGTGTCTAATCACTCTAATTCCTATCACCAAATCCTGACTTCAATCACTTCCCACCTTCCCTCGTGCATTAAATGCTTATTCGTGGCCAGTGGGTTTGTTGCAAAAAAAAAATAGAGGCATTGCTTCATTAAATGAAGCGTGGGACCCTGCTGCCATTTGATGATCTGACTTTAGTACCTTTGGCCGTGATTTTGTTCGGCTTCGGCCTCGGCCTATAATCAAGGCCGAGATGATCATGCATTCGCAACTTTTCCTTTGCTTTTTTAGGAAGGCCAAACATCTTGGCGAAACGCAGCGTTTTAGCCTCACGAGCAAGTATTAGGGCCGAGAAAAGGGGCTCCTTCGGTCAGTTCATGGCCGTGATTTATTAAGCACAAACATAATCATAACCTTGGCTTCCTCCACTACTTGAATAAGTATCTTGAATACATGGACGTTGTTCTTTACAACCTTGTGGGCTTTTATTCTTTTCAGGAGAATAACTTGTGATGTCCTGGTTGTCTGAGCAAGCTAATTTGTAGCCATCTTGGCTACTATTCCTTTCAGAATAATAACTTTCACTGCTCTGGCTAAATGACATGTACCCAAGTTGGCTATTATTCTTTTCAGAATAATAACTTTGGTTATTTTGGCAACCTAGATAAGACCTGCAACCCTGTTCGCCATTTGGCTCATGCTGAATTTGCCACTCATCGCTATCTTCCGAATCATAGTCATCGTCATTCATGCTTCAATGTCCTACCATGATAACCTGTATTTCCAAGCTTGCACTTCCAATATTCATACACCAACAAAATTGTCGGTAATATGCTATTTAGAAGTCTCACTGGGCGTGCCAAATTGTTCACCCGTTTTGATTTGTTTCCTGTGATGGTAGGGTAAAGTTCCCCATTAATCCAAAGACCATGGTTGGTCAATAAATTAACTTTCTTTGTGTGTCGAGCATGCCACCGTTAGCAATTTTTCAATTCTAACAGACTTGAGAGTAAAAATAACTTGCGCCCAAGCTATTGACTTTGAACAAACGATTGTGAATTTGGGTGAGGAATATCTCCCAAGTAAGTTCTTTTCTATGCCTTAGACTGGTAAGGACTTCATAATTTATCTAAATAAAACTGGGAAGTAAAGCAATAATACAAGTGTTTAAAAATAAAAATAAAAACAAGTTCAAGGCGAACTGTTTGAAATACAGTAAATGAAAGGAACTGCTAAGTCTGGAAATACATCAAAATATTGGACTTCGAATTCTGCCTGAAACGCCATTTCTGAGACTATTTTAGTCAAGCTGGACTGCACTGGATTGTGTGGCTGGACT